TAGCAGTTCAGATGTAGAGAACTACAAGAGAAAAAATATGGGAAATGGAAAAAGAACAGATTCAAGAAAAGGAAAAACAAAATGTTAACCTCTGTCCATCCCCCCACTCCTTCCATCTCCCAGGTTTACTGAGAAAAGAAACCATTGGTTCACTTTCTAGAAGGCATGAAGAGAACTTGGAGAGAGAATGACAACTTGTAAGGAAGATGGAAATGATTTCCAAAGAGATGCTTGAATAATTGGAATGTTCTTTTAAATAATAGGATGCTTTCTAACAGGAGGTGGAATGGGCTATGATAATAATCTTGAGAGAGAGGAGGAAGAGCTGCAGTTTAGATAATGGTCTGATAAAATAAACCGAGTCCAAAAAAGGCATGAGGATGGAGAATGTACTTCAGAACTGACCCCCTCTAGTTCTCTGGAACATAAAGGCAAGTGAGGGAAGAAGGCCATTCAGACTTGCAAGACTGATGACAGCCCTTTGGGGTACTCCAGACCAGGAAACTAAAACCACAGATATCACTACTACCTCCCAAAGTTATTTTTATGGCCACTTACAGAGACCTAGAAGGAATGCAGAAAACTTTCTGGCCAGTTCATATGAAGTTATAATCTGCAAATTCTATTTAGAAATTTAGAAACAATATAGGAGATGAGGGTTGAGTTATGGGTCCAATATGGGATAGGAGGGCTGAATGAAAAGAGCTGAATAAAGGAAAGACTAGAAAAAGTGAAATACATTGGGAGCTAAGGGTTCCTGGGATAAAAATACTACACATGACTAGCACAGTGTGTGAGAAGTATTAAGGAAGGTTTATACTACATTATGGAAGTGAAACTTCCAGGAGAAAAGGACACCAAATCTAAACTCAACAGGATAGAAAATGGGAGCAGCAGCCAATGCTATCAGAAGGAAATCAGTCCTCTGAACAAATCTGAATCCTCCAATGCAATGAAGATCCTTGACTATAGCAATTGGGTCACAATCTGGTAGCTTCAACCAAGTTTGAGCCAGCCAAGGGGAGACTGTCTTTTCTTAGCACAGTGACAACCAAAGGTGGGGATGAAACATGATACAGAGAAAGTGATTATTAGAATTGATAGGAACTATGGGCCAAGATGATCAATAAGCTATAGAACAGAAAAGGCAGAAAACAATGTGATGCTTTGAAATAATCAGCTTTGCTTTTGTTTTGTAAAGAAAAAGAAGTATTACTGTATGTTAAATATGAATGGAATATGGACAAATATTGCAGAGAGATTTCTTTAGCAGAATACAAGTACATCTACATACCTTAGTCATATTGTATTGCAAGAGCTAAGGATTAGATTCTGATATGTCTGTCCCAGTGCTAGTACCACCCAACAAAGATTCTCATGCATAAGTAATTTGTATAGGGATGAAACTTGGTTTGTCTTGTATAAGTTCATTCACAAATCTGAATGACAATAATTTAAATTAATCCAATTCCAGAATACACACTGTTGAGCCTTGGCTTTGTGAATGATGGTTGCTTCTAAGAAAGTACAATAATGTGGAGAAAACTTGTCCTTTTACTATGGAGTGTGGAGCTGTAGCTGACATCAGTTTGTTTGCAAAAACAATAGCAGCATCTTGCAAAATACTGCATTTCGGGATTTTCAATTGTTGTGGTTTTATACTTCTTTATTATATTTCTTCTACCATAAAGAGAGTTGTCTGTTAATTGCCTGTTAATACCACAAGTATATTTTACACAAAACTAATTTTTATCTTGCTGATATTAATGCAAAATAATTAATTTAAATTCATTAGAACCAGTAGGACTTCAAAGTGCTTAATTTTGTTTACCAATTTTGTGAACCCTAGCTCACATGTTTAATTAAAATCATAACAAAGTGTTTCTCATATGGAATAGAAAAGGAATAGAAAAACCTAGAAACAAGAAGAGGTTAAAAATAGTTTCTTTAAGCAATTTAAATTCCTTTAAAGCATTTGAGCTCAAAATGCTAAATGGATCTTCTTCCAGCTAGATTTCTACTGCCAGTTGCTTTGTTCACATGATAAACAGCCAGAAACCAGGACGGCTGATATGCAATAATCATTTCACACAACTAACCACTCAGCTCCCAGACCAGAAAATAGCACTCATGGTGCTTTAAATCAAGTAAGAATGAAAGACGCAATAAAACAGAATTTTTAAAAAATTATCAGCTCTCTTCCAGCTTTGCACAAAATTTGAGGTAGTAAGCAGTTATTGATGGGGCAGCAAACATTTCAGTGGAACAGATGAAAACTCATCAAAATTCTAATGCTACTTGAAAAAAATTGTTACAGCAATTACATTGTAAAGAAAGAGACCTGTAAAAAAGTTAGGACTATGCATTATGATGATGCTCATTGCTATAGTTAATATTTAGATTTAATATTTATCAAATATACTAGAAATTGAAACAATTAAAAACATTAAACAATTAAAAGCAATGAATCAAGACAGCCCTAATTAAAAACAAGCATTTAAGCATGTCAGCATCTCCCTCCCAATACATTAACTATAGTCATGGGACAAAGGCCTGAAAGGGCTTTTCTGAGCCTCGGAAGACAGGGAGTCCTTATCACTTGAGGGATGCCACTCCAGAGGGTGGGAAAGTATGAACACAGCAGAATATCAACTTCTTTAGAAAATTGTCATGCCCCCGTTGGAGTCTGAAACTTCGGAGGAAGATGAACTGGAACAAGAGCTGACAGAGATTGAGAGGCTGCTTCCATTGACCTTGGAGGAAACTGGGGAAGGGCAGAGTCAGTCCAGGCAAGGCTTTTCTGAATTAGTAAGGCCTGCAGTCAGGGAGAGTAAGGACTATCCCCTCCTGATATGAGAGCAAGGAGGGAAGAGAGACGGTGAGATCAACGCAGATTGAGATGGGCTATGAGGGAGGAGAGTGCCCCCTTTCACAAGGCACACCTGGGAACTGAGATGTAAGGAGGTGCCGCTGAGAGGGGCATTTGTCTGGAACAAGCATTGAATCTGTGAAGCCTCGTGTGCACTTGCCAAAGCCTGGAGATTGCTGTGCTCTGTGTTGTGGGGCTTGCTAGTTTGCCTGCTTTGCTGAATTTCTGGCTCTGGTTAATGTTTGGGCTAACATGGCTTCTTGGAATTCTGGCCCTGATTGCTGTTTGGTTAACCTGGCTTACTGGACTGCTTGCAGCCAGAGGCTTCTGAAGGTGTACGTGAAAGCTTTGCTCCAGGACTTGTAGTGAATGTGGAAACATTTGAGGACACAGTTGGAGCAAAAAAAGGGAGATAGACCTGTTCTCTGGGTGTGTTGTTTTTGTGACACACCCCCGGGTCATCACAAAAATCAAAATAACAAATGGTAAATAAAATAACTTTTCTTTCTTTTTTTTACCGTTTTAGTGAAGGGGAAAAATGTCATGATAAGTCACATGATGACAACATGGAACCACAAGTTTGACATCCCTGCTCTAAGCGGTGCTGCAGAGGATCATAAGAAGTCAAAAAGCCTATGCAGGCTCTTCTCAGTGATCTAGAAATGAACCTGTTGCTTTCCCTCCTCACTTTTTAGTATTAGTATTGATTTAATCATATGCCCTTAATTTAATCTGCTCATTTTTAAAAATTCTTTTTCACATTATGTATAATGTTGCATCCCTGAAATGGAAAAATAGGGATATGCATGTACATACAGTATATTTAAATATTAATATTGTATATTGAATGCACATTATATTACAACCATAAAGATAATTTTTATCAAATATAAATTATTGATACATGTCACCAGAGAAATTGTCTAGAATTTTAAAAGCATTTCAAATTTAAATTTATGTTGAAAATGTGAACAAGAAGGATCTAATTTTCTGAGATTGTGGATTTGGGGTTTACATGAGCTGTAAGCCATCATCATCACAATTATGACACATCAAGACTTGAACTATCTTGCTTTGCATGTAATGAGTCTATCTCATATATTAGTTTCACCTTTTAAGTTACATTACTGAAATAAATGAACTTTTGCATGATATTCTAATTTTTCGAGTTTCACCTGTATAACTGCTGTAAAGAAGATTGGAAGCTACTTCCTTGAATCTATTTTTCATTTTCTATTTTGCTTTTACTCTTTCCCCAACTTTCTTGCATTTTTAGATTATTTTTCAGTTATTAATTTTTCTTTTCTTCATATAACATTTTTCAGTTAGAATTGGTTTGTTTCTGTATTTGTTTTTATTTATATGCTAGGTTCCTTCAAGAGCTCACGGTATTTCCTCTCATTTTCTTTCGCATACGACTTTTTGAGGGAAGGTTGCAGTGACTGTCTCAGAGTGACAGCCTTGTGTTCTCTCTCTCTCTCTTCCTCCCTCCATCCCCCCCTCTCTCTCTCATAGATGAAGGATTCATGTATGAGTTTTCAACTCTTCTACTACCTGCCCAAAGTTAATTATGTTAGGGAATATGAAAGTTAAGTTCCAGTTCATTTTGAATAATTTTTTTTTACTGACTTTACACAATTCTGGCACTGTCAAACATTCATCAAGTCTGTCTTGACTCAGAACATGTTGCATTATTTGTTCTTGCATAAAATATGTAGATTAGAAGACTTTGAAAGAATTCTTGTATCCTTGTCAGCAATTAACCAGTCACCAATTTTTGCTTTACATCATAACAAGCATGATCCTGCTATTTGTCCTACAGAATTGTTTATAATTGAAAAACCAGTTGATAACATACATACTTCCTCTGTGTGTTTGTTGGACAATATGGCAGCTTTAATAAGCTCTGATACAGGGGATTTAACATTTATTTAAAATGAAAGCCTTTCCACCAAGTGCTGCAGCTGCAGAATTCAGTTCATTTAATATACGTAAATATTAGCAGCATTTGCATAACCCACATTAAAAAAAGGAGCAGAATCACAGAAAATGTATTACAACACTGGAGCAAAATTATTCAATACTTTACATATAAACAGGATTTTTCAAACATTGCCTCTTGCAGACTTACAGTACTGTCGACATAGGCTTCAGTCCACACTACATCATGTTCTTGATCAATCACTTTAGGTCGACTGAGCACATGGAGATATTCCATAACATTTTCTTGCACATCAGCTAGAGTAGAGATCTGAGTGAAAAATCCTGGATATATTTGAGCAGAGAGAGAAAAAAATGTGGTAATTCAGACATAATCAAATGAGAAATACACATAAAAGTTATAAATATCTTTTCTCTTTGTGTTAAAAGGAATGGGGTGTATGTGAGGGGAATTGACCAAGGAAGAAGCCCTGTCAAGTTTTAATTTGTGAAAGCACTAGTCTGTGAAATGATATGTCAGTCCAAAATGGCTCCATTCCTGTGAGTGTTCTACACCATTGCACAGCTGTCCTGACTTTTTTCCCTTCAGTTCCAAGTCAATTTTTTCAGCCTCAGGAGAAAGTAAAAAAGGAGGGAGTTTGTTCTTAAAGATAAATGCTTATGGCAGAGTTCTATTAACTTTTACTCCACAACCTTTGCAACTGCCAAGTATCACAAATATGAGGGTGATATTTTAGTTTTATCAAATTTTATCTCTAACATTCTATATCTGGATCAGAGTTTTAGTGCTTCCCATCAGAGTGTTCTAACCCATTTCTTACATAGTCCAATTATCCATGCAAGAACCTTAGCATGAAGTCCTATGGACACAACCACATAACCACATACTTCAGTCCTCAGGCAATCGTGAACTACTGGAAAACAACCCATGACTTATTTTATGATAACTTGATATACCAAGAATAAAGTAAATTTGCTTCAACAAATAATGTTTCACATAACATCCAATTGAAAATCATCATGGAATCTGTAGATTCAAGCATTTTATTCATTTCCCAAGTTTAGTTTTCTGCCGTAGAATGGATTGTCTACATTTGGGCTTTCCTGAAAAACTGAAGTTCAAACTTAGGAATCATAGGGTAGATATAACGCAGCTTCAAAGTTATCTGCATTTTTCAAATACAATAAAAAAATTCAAATAGCTGCTTTTTCTCAGGTGGCATTCAATTCCTTCTAATCTGAAGATGTTAATTAATACATTAACTTAAAGTATCATGGACTACAAGGACTCTCAGCAATTTTGAAGAATACATAAACAGCAACAATAAAATCAGAAACAATCAAAGCCAAAAATATTAGCAGTCTGTTTTCAGAATGCATTTTAAGGTTTTTTTAAAAAGCCAATTATTTAAAAAGCCAATTAAAAGCCTCAACTCATTTGGAAGTGCACAGCAAAGAATGGGGGCAACTGCTTAGCTCAGAGCCACTTCGAGACAAATCCATGGCAAATGTAGGTGAACATCTTTAATATCAGGGAGAGAAGTCAAAGAATCATATGAAGAGAGGTGTTCTCTTACATAACTTAAACCTAAGCTATAGTATATAGGGTGTAAAGGTTTTTGTAAAATGTAATTGTACATTTTCTATTTCATACACATTTTTTTTTTTTGGCTAGCAATGGCAATGCATCTAAGTACTATGAAGCTTCTCTGGGTTCTTCCAGAGACAAATTTGGCTGTTGAAGTTTTGTTCCTGCCATACTTCCCAAACTTGACTCACAGGTTGTCCTATACACTACATGTTTTAGTGGTCAGGGTGGGACACTTCCAGCACAATAACTGTGCTGCTACAGTTTGGGCTGATAGTGATATTCAATAATACCTCAAAAGACCACTTCTTAAGATTAGTTCATTTCCAGACACCATACTGGTGACCTGATGCATCTTTTCTGAACTCCTTTCTCCTGAATTATCAAAAATGCTTGATATATCATTGATAATTAGACAAACTAATTTCAGATAAAACAGGTCTGTCAAATGACTGTAGTGAGATACACTTTTTTTTTATTACGATCCACTTAATAATGGTTATTTTGTTTGTGCCAAGCTAAAACATTATAGTCTGCCTTTGTTTTTTACAGCTGGCAAATTTTCAGTTGTATTTGACTGCTAATCTATTCCCTTCAAACCTGGTATGCTGAACTTCTGCAAAACTTTATTGAATATTGGACGGTCCTGGTAATATTTGCAATTTTTTCTCCCTTCAGGCTCATTGTCCTCCAGGCTTTTGGGGAAACCACTGTAAGTTCATTAGCTATTCCACAGCAGTGTTGGGATCTTGACTGTTTTAATGTATTTCAAATGAGTTGTCGCTCCACCTCATTAGGCTCACACTCCCTCAAGATATGCCCTACTTTTTATAAGAAAGTTGGAAACAAGATGGGAGGTAGAGGTCTCATACAGCATGGTGTAAATTTCTAGTGATCCAGTTCTGGAGAAAAGATTTTGTACCCTAAAATCCACTCACTTGGAAATCTTGTACAAATCTTTCATCTCTGCTAGGTGCTTCCAAGGGGAAAATCACCACAAGGAAAATTGATTTTGGGGTCAATGACCTCTGTGATAGCTACACTGTTTGACTTATCCATCTGTACAGGAATTAAAAATATATTCCACTCCTTCTCAGATTCAGCATTACAATGCTGCCAGGCCCTGTTGTTTTTTGCAACTATTATCCTTCACTTCCCCAACACTTAGGAATACTGTAATTGATTAATTATAATTAAAAATATAATTCCATGACTAAAAAAAAATATGCTAGAAAAGACATTGTATAGAATCCAAAGACTAATATCCCATGAATTATGCCAGCTTCTTCTCCAGGCAATGTTTCCTATGTGTTAAGAAAGCAATTTTAGAAGATGCTGATTTATTTACACACACACACACACACTATTAGAAGCATGTACTTTTGTTTTAAAAGTGTCAAAAGAAATAATTCATATTTACATAGATATAGAAACAGGAACAAAATCTCCTCAGATAACCAAGGAAAAAAAATAAATTTTGCAAATATTTTTTAAAAAATATTTTTTTCTTAAAATAAAAAAGTAGAAGAGAAAAACTTAATTAGATGGGGTGGGTACTTTTTTTCAGAGCTACACATGCTATGTCTTAAAAGTGTATTTTATTTTATTTTAATTTAAATTACAGTATTTAAATACAGTTAATATAATTCAATGTTTTTGGTAATTTTGTCATATTCTAACTTAGTTTTGTCACCTTAAAAAAATCAATTCTTCAAGCACCTTTTAGGAGGCCACACCAAAAGATTTTGGGTAGCCAAACTGGACAAGGAGAAGTTTCATTTCACTCTGGCCTACTTCACATGGCTCCTCCACTTAGTAGTTACCACACTACAATGGATAGCCTCTAAATCACAAATGCTGCTTACTCTAGCAAATACAAGATAAGCACCATATAGACATTGGGAGCAGGCAGGCAACTGACAAAATGTGCATGACTTCATCAAACAAATACTTCAATTTATATACTGGTATCAAATTTTGGGACGGAGTATGCAATGAGTATGTGAGGTCATGATGATAGTTGAACTTATAGATGCCACTGACTCCCAGGTAGAAAAATTTATCTGGAAGTACTCAAAAGATATGGTTGAAGAAGAGGAAGTCCCAGAAGGCATTGTGTTCAAAATCCCAAGCTAAAGGATTTTGCTGGGTCATCACAAAATGTGAATACTAAGAAAGTAGGTTAGTAACCTTCTGATATATTTCCAATTTCTTCCCATTATTATCAAATTGTAATTTTCAAAGTCTTATATGGTACTTTTACAGTGAGACAATTAAAAATAAGAACACAAAGACAAACTGCTTTCCAACAGCACAAAATTATAGAACAATATATGATCTTTTTGGCCAATAATATAATGACAAGTGATTGGGCAAGACTCTTGAAATCAACCATTATGAAAGGAAGTGCCTTTTCATGAACAGATGTCCTTAGATCTTTATCAAGCGTGGGTAATGCACTGTCTGAAAATTGAACATGCTTTGGAAGTAACTAAACTGCCTTTGAAAAACTTGCTTCAAAGGATTCTTGTACAGTGACTAAGTCTAAATCCTAGTGTTCAATATTAGTTGATTAAGACAAATCTTTAAATAGGATAATTTCCATCAGATGGACACCAAGACTGGTTAATGCAGTAATGCATAACTAAATGCATATACTTCCAATGAGTCATTAAATGTCATGTGGCGTGCACACATGCATAAGTGAGAAAACCTCAGTACATATATAATGGAATTGCAGAATAAGCAAAGCATTTTTATTATTTTTACATCATGGCACCATATTATGTGTTTTGGAATCACAGTTATGTCATTATTTATCAAGAGATACATCTGCTTTAGTGTTGCCTGATGAGTGTTATGCAAGAGTGGGATCTGTTATGGCTCCACAATCTTTAGAAGCAAAAGGATGAACTAGACCAAACAAAGGCGTCATGGTCAAGTATTTCCTATTATTTTAAAATCAACTAGAAACCCCCAAAGCTGCAGTAAAACCTGATGACGTTAAGCAAGACAATTTCCACCTACTATCTCTTTAGTAAATATCCAGGCATTCCAATTTGTGGAGTTAAGTACATCATATAATGCATGTGTGTCTATATCTAAAAGAGAGAGAGACCAAGAAAAAAATATCATCTCTCATGTCACACCAAATTTGGCCCTTGCTTTCTCTCTTAAAATGCAAAATCTCTATTTTCCTTGATAGGATTTCTTTTGTTTCTCTATGTAAATCAAAAACTTCCTTCTTTCCAAAATTTCATTTAATTATCTTATATTAGTTATCTCTCCTTCCCTGCAGTTCAGAAGCACAAACAATACCTTACTGGGACACAGAGACCATGATTTTCATTTTAGATTTAAGAGTGAGTTGATACTCTGTCTGTTATTTTCTTGTGGTCACAATTATTACAGGGGATGTTTGCATTTGGCAATGGTACATTATTCAATTTTAAACAAGAAAGATGCCAAAAGTGAATATTTACATTATTCAATATAGGCAAAAGACAAACAAAATTATCAACTAACATCAGGATATAAATTATGTTCTAAACACTTAGAAATTTTATCCACTCAACCACCTAGGAGGAAAGGTTTTGTCAACTATCTTTAGTTGCTTACGGAAGATTTTATTTGGCAAGATGCTCTGTGGAACTGGCACCTAAATATATTCCTGCTTTTTTTCTCCTATATACCAATTCTGCTTCCCAATATCTAGATCAGCATTACCTCTCCAGCACATAATCATATGGATGTTTATTTCAGTGTTTCTCAACCTCAGCTATTTTAAAATGTATGGACTTCAACTCCCAACTACAATGCTGCTTGCAGAATTCTTGGGATTTGAAACTTAAAGTTTCTGAGGTTGAGAAATATTGGTTAATTTTACTGGCAGAGTGATTTACTCCCAGGTAAACATACATAAAATGGCAATCTTGCAAAGAGTTCATACTAGGCTACGTTTTTAGGCAGCAGGATCAAAGTGGCATAATACTTTGCAAGCTAAAATCCAGTATTTTTCATTAAATCTGGAAAGTTAGTGGGAGTAATGACAACTGAATGATATTGATAGAATAACTCCATTTCCCCTGGAGACAAAATGCATTATTTTGATACAAACAGTTGCACTTTACTGAAATGCTTGTAATGATTTCGTTTTTTCTATCCAGAAAGAAACAGTGATAATATAGATTCTGCATAATATTGTGACTACAGAGTTAATTGAAAAACCTGGTTCCAAAGTTAGTTGCCCTTGAAAATCAGGCCACTTTACATATAGCTATGTAATTGCAGCCTAGGTACTTGTGCTTAACTCCTGATTGTGACATTGCAGCAAGTCACAGTTATATGATAGCAATTTTTGACACTATTCCATGAGCAAATTTAATTGGAAAGCCAACAGAAAATCATAGTTACACAAGGTTCTTGCTTAACAAGCCACCATATTTCTTGCATAACCATGGCAGGTGGGACTACTATCATTAAGTGCTGCAATCATGTTACATTGTATTTTACAAAGCAATTCCTTTTCCAATTGCCAGAGGGCTACCTATTTTCATGTGTCAACCTATTAAACCAAAACAAGGAACTTATAGATGCCACTGACTCCAAGGACTCAGATGCATTTTGCCAGGTCATTAAAGGTCCAAGAAGAACCAATCAGAAGGGAGGGAATAAGCATATTTTGCGTAGAATTGATACCCACCTTTGTTGGCACAAGCCATCCATTTGAGATTTTCTGCAAAGGGAGCTTCTCTTCCTATCAGGTAGGTGAAAATGCGAACCTGAAGATATAATTGTGTATTATTGTAAGAGAACTTCATTTACAGGAAACACTTTATATAAACTTTGTATTAAGCAGGTTATAGCACCAGACAAAAATATCAAAGAATTGCAAGCACATTCTATTGGAATTTTCTTTTGAGCTGAATCAGCAATAATTTCACACACTTACAGATTTTGGTTACACACACACACATTTGGCATTTTCTAGAATTATAAGTGAATGTAAATGAATAGGTATCATTTCAGAAGTTTAGCATGAAATCACACAAGAGAAAATGTATTATTTTGCTCTGATCCTAAGCTTGCATTTAATTACTGTACTGCCACAAAAGTCTCCTGCATATGCAAAAACATGAGGTAAGCTTCTATCTCTCAAATGCAGTAATACAGATTTCCCACAATAATGATAAATTATTTCAACCAAAAGAGCTATCCAACACTGACTGTTCGTTACAGGTTCATAAAGTCAAAGCTTAACATTCCTCCACTCCCAATTACATGAGAAAATAGTTGGAAGCATAAATTCAATTTGCAGTCCAAGGAAAATTCAGGTTATAAGTACCTCAGTTCATTAAAAATGACCTTTTTTGTTGTTGTTACTCATCCCTGACAATCATTTATTTGGGAAAATATTCAAGAGTATTCAACCAGAGCCTTCTGATTCTCTTTTTTAATTTTAAAAATAAATTTTATTAATCATATTTTCATCATAAAAACACATCTCCACTCATTACAGTGTTTCAATATTGGTGTTCACTCACATTGACATACTATCTAATTATGTAGGTAGTTACTATATATTACATATTTGTTTTTACATTCAACATAAATCAAATATTTACAGGCCTACAAACAGTATTTATCTCAACTTACTATATAGCTCCTACATACCCTTCATCTATCAGCTTTGAGTCTACTTTCCAACCAATTGTACCATAAATTCCAAATCTCATAGTACTCCGTTTCTTCTCTGTCGTTTAATTCCATCGATAACCTATCCATCTCTGCACATTCTAAAACCTTTTTTATTATCATTATATCAGAAGGAGTATTGTCCTGTTTCCAATTCTGGGCAAAGGTAATTCTGGCCATGGTTATTATATGAGTATTATGTATTGGAATTTTTTACATATATTATATCTTAATGTACACAATAAAAATATCTCTGGTTTCATCTTGATTTTTTGTTTCATAATTTCTTCTAGCCAATTCTTAATTTTTCACCAATATTTCTTAGCTTTGGGGAAGGTCCATCACATATGAAAATAGGTTCCTTATTTATGGTCACATCTCCAGCATTTCATTGATCTGGTAGGGAAAATTTTAGCCAATCCTGCCGGGGGTAAATGCCAGTGATAGAACATTTTATTCAAGTTTTCTTTGTAAGCTCTGACATTGTTAGTTTATCATTTATATCCCATAATTTTTCCCAATATCCCAATTCGATACTATATCCAAAATTTTTGGCCCAGGTTATCATAGACTCCTTAACTGTTTCTTCCTCCATTTTAAAATGTAGTTATATATTTTGGTAATTATTTTTTCCTCCATCCCTTGTAATATTTGTCTAATTCCTGTTGGTCTTTATAAAAACCATATTGCTCTACATCTTTTTTATACCTTGTCTGGATTTATAGATATGGCTACCAATCTATCTCTATTCCTTGTGCCTTTAACTCTTGGTTAGAGCCAAAATGGTTATGAGTCAACAATGGACTATTTCCCCCAGTAAAGAAGGCTAAGACATGATAGTCACTTCAATCTAAGAATTTCAAATATGCATAAATTCAGGAGTGATAGCTAAATTAGGCAATAGATTTCCAACAGCAATAACCAGTTCTGCTCTGGACTTTCATCTTGAAGGAGATAGTCTCTTCCTGTCCTCCCAATGCCTTTCCTGCCCCACATGGCACTTCTTGCATACCATTCTTGATCACACCACCTCTTGTGGACCATCCCAGTCACCCTTCCCAACTCTCATTGCCCCCTATACAGCCTTCCTAACTTGTATGGCACCTCTTGCATTTATCTGCGATGGTCAGGTATCCTTATCAGTTGCACCACATCCTCTTTCCCTTCCCTGGCCCATGTGCCACCTCTTGCATATCCTTAAGACCCCCACAGACCCCTATTGACCCACATTATCCTAGCAACACCCTATGACTTCTGAGACTGGATTCTGCCCTTAAAGATAGGAATCCAACACTGACTCCAATCCTAAGTCTTTTTAGCTGTTTTTCAGCCTGGGAATTCCCCATCCCATTGGTATATACACCAAACCCCTATATTGTTCCCAGTCCATTACTCTGAGTGGGAAAGACTAGGTTTTTTTTAATAAGCATAAAAGAAAATTAGGGGGGAACTAATATTGTTTTTCCTACTTCTGTGCTGCTGAAACTAATGTCTAGGGATATGCTAGACTTCTTCAGAGTCCCATCCATGTACTCTAATCACTGACTAGGTTTAAATTCAAACGCAAGAAAAGATGATGAGAATGGCAAGAAAGAGGTAGCCTCATACAGAGATAAATTAGATATCCGCCTTATTAATTTTGAAATGAGGAGAATTGGTTTTTCTGATTAGCAGGCTTATTCACTTGACTAACATAACACTTGACTGCTCTTCCATGTGCAGAGCATTGCCCAACAACAATTTTGGTACTGCCACTGAGGTAGCATCCTATCCCATGTTACAGACTAATATAATATTTCCTGCAGCCAATTAAAATCTGAAATGCTTTTGCTGGCCTATGGGTCTGTTTTTCATTACTTACTGCAGCTGTTACAAAGAATCAGTGAACTAATCAACCAATGTCAAATCAGGAAGTGCTTTAAGAGAGCTGAAAATCTTGCCCAACAGCAGCCAGATGGGCATGAAAACTTCTTCATCTATTCTGGTTTTAAAAAGCAATGAGGCTCACTAGAAACATCCATCATATAGTACATACACAAATGGTGGCATATATACAATATATAGACCTATTTCTTATTTCTCAAAATCATGTCTTATGTTTGGGCAACATGGATGGCCATAATAGTTACTCTGAGTTTCATAGGGCTTCTAGGAAGAGAAGAAACATATCTTTTTACCTCAGAGTGACCAACACCATAGCAGCAACAATAATGCAAACCTGTTTATAGAATTGTCTACTACAGGAGTCCCCAACCACCAGGCCACAGATCACTACTGGATCTTAAGCTGACCACAGAACCGGGATGTGGAAGTGGCAGGCAAGCACACACGCACACAGATCCATTTGTGCAAGCAGTAGGTAAGCACATGTGCTCACACTGCATCTGCGTGAGTAGCAGGTGCAGGTGCTTGCCACTTGTGCAAATGGAGCTGAGCACATGCATGCACTTGATTGCCGCTTGCAATCTCCTCTGTCCCCATCAGTCTGCAAAGCTGGAAAAGTTAGGGAACTCTGGCCTGCCGTAAGAGATCCACTTCTTTTTAATATCCTTTTATAGTAATCCATATATATTTGCTCCCGAAGGTTATGTTGGGTTTGATTCAGCCTAACTGCTCACTTAGGCACAACTGCACTATTGTAAGCAAAATGTTTAATCACAAAAAGAGAAGGAAATAGTACCATCAGATTTATATCCAACCCTAATACATAAATTGTCCCCAGTGCTTATCTCAGAAAAGAATGTGCTGAAATACATTCTAAATAGAAAACAAATCAATCTGAGAGATTTATGGCTAATGGTCTTCTTTAACATACACACAATCAAACAACCATGTCCATAATAGAAGTAGAATAGACTGAGCTGCAGAAAAGAGAAAAATGACCTAATGTGGCATCAGGGCCAAAGTACTAGAGAAACTGAATTCAAGACATTAGCTTTGAACAACAGTCTACTGAAGATCCCTATGAAAAAAAGGGCAATGAAAACTGTTTTCTCCTTCTATCAAATATGCATGTATGTGTATCTGTGTCTGTACCCACACACACTTGTGTACAAATATTGAATTCCAGAAAAGATGTGACACTTCTTATTTATCACAAGTATATTGCATTTCTTGAACATTATTTGTGATATAGAAAAGAACACACATCAGAATTCCCAGTCTTACTTTGGGCAGCACATTGTACAATGATTTCTTAACCATTTTTCAGAATTAAGTCTTTGGAGGGAAGATGCTAACTTCCCAGAATTACAAACTTTCACCAAGCCACTTTTCAAAGTAGAAACCACAACATGAATTGCCATTATAACTCCCATCACAATTTTTTTTTTGTCTGAATAGGTTCCTGTTTTGCTTACTGGTCTTCTACTTGAATTTAACTAGATTCCGAGAAAAAAATTTAGGCTAACAGGACGCTTTATTTACTCTGGTTTACAAGCAAACCTCTGCAGATTTACATCTGCTATTAGCACGGGAGCTTTCCTTACTTGAAACAGAAAGGAACATGTAAAAAGACAAAGGAAAAACCCCTAAGCAATGTAATCTACTAAATATTAATATATTAACTAAGTAACTTAGTTATTTACCAGTACCATTTTTTCAATAAAATATGTATTCTCATATTTCATATTTCACAAATTCCTTGTGTGTCCAATCACACATGGCCAATAAAAATATTCTATTGTAGTCTATATCCTTTGTCCAAATGATAGCATTAATAAAGCACAGCTGTGAATCATTTTACCCTTACCTTTCATTTTAGAATAAACCAAGATATAAATCAGTTCGTTGGCCATCTTTAATTATAGGTCAGCCTGATAAGCTAATCAATATAATTAATTCTTGGGCAGTTCAGAAGTAAAATCTTTCACTTTATCACTGGCACATTTTACACAGGGCAATCAGCACATTTTAAAGGACACACTTGCCACAATTAATTTCACTTCTGGATGATTCTACTATTAAGTTTCTTATGTATGGAAGCAATAAATATGCTATATGAAAAGCATTGGACAACATCTTTATCTAGATGGGCTAATGTCTATGGAGATTCTCAGTCATCCAGCTCATGGTTGTCCCAAAGGTG